AAAAAAAAAAAACAACTCGGGGCAGAGATCGAAACGACGGACGAGATAGTGATGGTGGTGGTAGCAGGACAAGCCGGTGAGTTTGATGGCGACGCTGACGACGCTTCGACAGTCCCTCAAAGCTCTAAAGAAGGCTCAGCACAGGCGTTCCATCGAGTGCGGTGTGCTTCCGGCGAGCGAGTGGCTGCAGCGGACGGGAGGAATCCGAAGAGGTGAGCAGCCAGAGAGCCACCGTCGACGCTCGGCTGAGTTGCACCCGCTCGCTCACTCTCTCTCTTTTTCTCTCTCTCTTCTGCCGGCACGCGACACGGCGAGCTGTGTTGGACTCCTTCGACTTTTTAACCCTTTTCCGCCCCTTCTCGCTTTTTTTTCTTTCGCAGGGTGCACCGTGCGCCAAACACAGAGTCCGTGAGGTGCGAAAGCCGTCTGCTGCCACCTCCGCTTCCTCTTCGTCGTTGGAAGCTGTCCAGACGAGCGGCACGGCTCTGCAGACCAACCAGCCTAGCTTGCACAAGGCTTTCGTCGCGGATGACCGACCAAAGCGCGAGGTTGGGGGGGCCGGGGGCTCTTCGGAGCGAAGTCCAAAGAAGACTCGGCATGGTGTGGTCGGCAGCGGCGCCGACTGCCGCGTTTCGGCTCAACCTCGCCCGATCCAATCCCAGCCCATCAACACCTCACCGGTCCCTCCCCCACGCCATATGCAGCTTCCGGCAGCCTCTCATCCGAGCCTAGCTGCTCCTTCCAATGGCCTACGCTGACGTGGAACATCCGCTTCACTCATCCCCCTCCCTCGATCCCCGATCTCCGATCCCGAAGACGAGCCCACACCAACACCCCACACGCGCAGTGAGCTACAACAAAACGATTGTTCATTTACAGTACCCATCGTTGATCTAACGAGCGTACGTGCAGGGGAAAAAAGAGTGTCTATCGTCGCTGCGCCTTGCAAAGCTCAAAAACGAACGTGTGGAAGAGGCCAGAGGGACACCGACGGCCCCCATCGGCCCAGGTGGAAGCGATTTTTGAAAAGTGCGACGGGAGCCAAGGGAAATGTGAGATGCAGGATGGTTGTGTTGGAATGCGCCGGGAATCAATGCGTGTGGACGGGGACGGGACCTTCTACTGGCCATAGTACCCTGGAGGCGGCACTTGCTGATGCAGGTTGGTCGTGCTGCTGCCTGCCGACATCTCGCCGTGCACGCCGTTGCCGCGATGCGCCTTGCGCACACGCAGCTGGCGTGCTGGCCAGCCCGCATACACGGCGCCCGCCTCGGCGATCTCGCCCGACGCCACCAGCGTGTGCTCGAGCAGCATCGAGCGCGGCTCCATGCTCGCGCCCGACAGCAGACGGCTCCCCGACCGCATCGCACATCCATCGCCAATGCGCAGCTTGTTCAGGCTGAACCGCCCGCGCGAGTTGATGTGCGCCACCACCGAGCAGTCGTCGATGCTCACCCGGTCGCCCATCGACACCAGCTCCGGCTCGGTCAGCTGCAGCGACGGCTTGCCTCCCGCCCAGATCGCACAGTCCTTGCCGATCTTGGCGCCGAGCGCACGCAGATACCACACCGCAAACGCCGTGCCCGAAATGTTGCCGTAGATGTGGCCGCCAAAGCCGCGTCCCAGCAGCTTCTGCAGCGTGAGGTGCAGCTGCCATCGCTGGCAGTACGACGACTTGTCCCAGTCGTAGCGTCCCTCGCGTCGGCGTCCGATCACAGCCCACTTGGTGGCGATCGTCCACGCAAACGCCAGGATCGCCTGGATCGTCAGCATCACCACGAATAGCACCGCGATCATCGCGTAGATCAGCCCCGGTCGCCACCAGTGGTCGTCAAACAGGAAGCCCGCCGACGAGTACTCAAAGTGCTTGCGCAGCATGTTGAGCACCAGCACCGTGCCCACCGCCGCCGACGCCCAGTACGCCGACGAAAAGATGGTCATGCCAACGTTGATGACCACCAGCAGCAGGTAGGGGAACACGAAGAAGTTGGCCTGGCGCCGGTAGAACGCGCGACCGAACGGCGTGATGGTTTCGTCGTCGCCGTTGCTGCCCAAGCCGCCCTCGCTCTTCTCGGCCACCGCCTTTCCGAAGCTGACGGCCTCGCCGTGCTTGGCGCCCATCCACACACTGCCCTCCTCGTAGTGGCCGTTGCGGCGTGCGAGCGCTCCAGAGCCCATGACGCACTGCTTGCCAATGATCGTGCCCGGCAGCAGCACCACTCGATCCGCAATCATCGCACCGCGGCCCACGCGCACGCGCGCCCATCCGATACTGTCCGAAGTGAACACCTCCGAACGCGAGCCAAACACAACATCGTCGCCAATCTCGAGCAGCTCCGGGTCCGGGCAGTAGATGCTCGAACCGGGCCAGTAGACTCGCTTGCCCACGCGCGCTCCCATGGCACGGAAGATCACCGACGTCATCTCGTAGTGCGTGCCCAGGATGGCGAGTGCGCGGCGCACGCGGGGCTGCGAGAGCAGCTGCTGGTTCATCCATCGACGGAAGAGTGCATACTGCGTCGCGTTGCGCATCGAGCCTTCGCGGTTGAGACCGAGCAGTCGCTTCACCAGAATGCCGAACGCCAGGTTGATCAGCGGCGGCATGCCGTTTCGCACGATACGCGCGACGTAGTGCCATCCGATTCGGCGCGGATAGGCGAACCAGGCGATCACGCCCTTGACGCTGTCGTGGTGGTCAAAGGCGAACGGCTGCGACAGCAGCATGAAGAGCGATGCGAACCACGGCACGTAGCACGCGAATCGGACAAAGAAGATGATCGGGTAGCCAATGAGCACCATGAGCGCCCAGTGAGGCTGAGGTGCGTTGTTGCGGTTGTAGGCGGCGTAAGCATCCGACGATGGCTCCTCGTGCGACGAAGACTGCGGGCCCCACACCGTACCGTCGGCGAGCCTAGCACCAGGCGAGATCTGCGTAAAGGTGTTGATGACGCAGTCGCGACCGACGATGATGGGCTCGAGTCGGAAGTAGCCGTCGCGCTCCACGCAGAAGCCGCGCAGCAGACACTTGTCGATGCGCGCGCCGTCGTGGATGGTGATGAGGTCGTACTCGGCGATCTTGGCGAACTGGTCGATCTTGACGTCCGAGCCGATCGACATGCCGAGCAGACGGTAGTAGGTCTTTTGCAGACCCGGAGTCATGGCAAAAAGACCCTTGCCGGCAGTCTTGAGAGACTGGTTGACGATCCACCATCGGAGGTGGTAGTTGCACCACATCGGGTACTTGCCCGGGCGGTACCTGCCGATGACGATCCACTTGAAGGCGATGGCGGTGATGGGGCAAATGATACGACTGGTGAGACGAGCTACGATGATGGAGGCGAGCAGCGCACCCACGCGCTCCCAGAAGATGTCGCGGATGTAGAAGGCCGAGAAGGCGAGGCCGTGCAGAATGACGGTCCACGTCCAGGCGGCCTTGAGCGGGTAGAAGAAGAGGAAGGGGATCGACTGGATGAAGAGCACCCAGGGATGCGTCTGGCTGCGCGGCTTGTAGCCATGATTGGAGAAGGCGACGTCCTCGTCGTCATCGTAGCGGTGGGCTGCGTACGTGGCGCCGAGCGCGCCCTTGTCGTCGAAGCCGTCGTAGAAGTCGTCGTCCTCTTCGTCCTCGTCGCCCTGCTCGTCATCAACGAGGTCGGCGATGCCTGCCACGGTCGAGTTGTTGAAGAGCGTCGAGACCTCGAGCGAGACGCCCGTTTCTTTGCGGATGAGGTGGACCAGTCGGCCGAGCAACAAACTGTTTCCTCCGAGCAGGAAGAAATCGGATTCGGCGGTGATGGAGCCTGCCTCGGTGTCGAGGAGCTTGGCGATGATGTCGCGCACGATGAGAGCGGTTCGGGTCATGCTCGAGGCGTTCTGCCTTCGCACCTCGGCCTCCATGGTGTCAAAGTCGATCTGACCGTTGTTCTTGGCGAGCGGCTGGCGGAAGACGTGAAGCGGGTTGGGGACGACGTAGCCGTGCAGAACCTGCGCCAGCGCACGGTCGATGTCGGCTGCGTCGTAGTCGGCGTCTTCCTCGACCTGGATAAAGGCCTCGGGAGCGCCGTCGCGGCGTTGGCGGACGGCGGCCTCAATGATACCTGGGATGCGGTAGCAGGCTCGCTCGACGGCGCGCACATCGACGCTGACAAGGTTGCAGGGGATGGGCTCGGACAGCGGCACCTCCTTGCCCGGCGCCTTGGCCTCGAAGTGACGCTGGAGGGGCGGAACGTCGTCCGAGAGCGGACCGATGCCGAGACGGGTTCCAAGCTTGATGCGGAGCGGCTTGCCCGCCTGGTTCTTGGGGAGGTCGTCCATGTAGACGGCAGCGAATGGCCATTTGGAAGGATGCAGATGAGAGCGGAGCATGTTGTGCAATTCGGCCAGACCGACGCGAGGCTGGTTCGGCACGGGGACAATGACAATACCGATGGTCTCCTGGAGGACGTTGTGCTCGATGGAAAAGGCGAGGCACTGCTTTACGCGATCGGAGCACGCCTGTGTGATTGCCTCTTCGACCTCGAAGGGCGAGACGACCTCGCCGCCCTTGTTGATGATCTCCTTGGAACGACCGGTGATGTAGAGGTAGCCGTCGGCGTCCATGTGTCCCATGTCGCCCGAGTCGAACCAGCCCTCGCTGGAGAAGGAGGAGGTGTCGAGAGGTTCGAAGGGATCGGCCGAAACTTCGTAGCCGGAGAAGGTGGGCAGACCGCGCACCGAGACGGCGCCGGTCTGACCGACGGGGAGCTCCCGCTCCTTGTCGAAGGGATCGCGGATGGAGAGATCGGGACCGCAGGCTACACCCGAGCAGCCGGGACGGTCGAGCTGGTAGTTTGTGGGCGGTGATGCGATGGGCATGCACTCAGTCATTCCGTACGAGGGCAGCACGGCACACCCGGCGAAGGTCTCCTTGAGCTGTTCGGCGAGCGAGGGGAGGAGACCGCCTGCGGCGTTGGCGATCATCTTGATGCTGGTCTCCTTGGCGGCATCGACGCCTTCGGGCTTGGAGGCGAGGATGGCGTGATGCATGGTGGGAGCGGCGTAGTACCATGTTGCGCCGAGCTGCTTTGCGAGGGGCCACCAGGCGTTTGCGTCGAAGCCGGCGCACATGATGGCGCTTCCAGCGGAGAATACGGGCGACCAGAGGTTTCTTACGATGCCGCCGACGTGGAAGAGAGGCATCATGTTCATGTTGACACTCTCTGGACGCAGGTCCCACGAGTATACGACACAGCAGGTGCCGACGATGAGATGGCGGAGCGAGTAGGGAACGACCTTTTTCTTGCCCGAGGTTCCGGAGGTGTGGAGGACGAGACTCTGGTGTTCGAGGTTGTGAGGCGCCGAAGGACGACGGCCTGCGGTGGATGCGACGCCGTTCTCGCCGAGGAGCGACATGTCGAAGAGGCCGGCGGGGCCCGATGTGCGTGGTTCTACAAAGATGACTTCCATGTTGTCCTGGTCTCGGAGGGTGTGGAGGCCAAGGCGCTCTACGGCGTCGCGCGTGGTGACGATGGCGCGTGCGCGAAGACGGACGGCGTCGTCGCGGAGCTCGCCTGCGGTGCAGCTGGCGTTGACGGGAGCACAGGTGTGGTAGGCGGCGACGGAGAGGAGGGCGAGGGCGTTTTCGGGCCCTGTTGGGAGGGCCATCATGACGCGGTCATTGGGGCCGAGGGGCTTGCGTGAGGGGAGGATGAAGTTGGAGACGAACGACTTGATGTGACGATGCTCGAGCGGCGGGCGAGAGAGGTCGGGGGACCAGAGGGCTGGATTGGAGGTGGAGGGAAGACAGTCGATGAGGGTGGATATCCTTCCATTGTCGGTTACGTGCTCTGCAATGTGGTCGCCGAGCGAGCGAGTCTTTGGGCGTGGTGGAAGGCTGTAGAGGAAGCCGAGGGGAAAGTCGGCACTCATGATGGGGCTTGCGAGCAAGGTCGCGACGAGACGAGACGCGACTCAAAAGACGATCGTGGTGGCGTTGGTGAGCGTTGTGCGGGTTGGAGGGTAGGTGGATGTAAGGTAAGGGGTGAGGGTGGGAACGGTCAGGCGCCAACGAAAGATGGCATGTATGCGAGCGTGCGCTGGTGGTGCGCGGTGTGAATGGAATGAGGAGCGCAAATGCACCAGGGCGCGATGGAAGCGATGCGACTAGCGTGCGTGCGTCGCGGTGTAGAGGAAGGCTGACGGCGAGCAGCTGATGTCGACGACTGTGAACGCGATGAAAGCGGAACGGAGGATGAGAGGGAGGGATGAGGATGGAGGATTGAGAACTGCACAAGTCGAGGCCGGACAGTGATGCGAGGTTGCAAGGTTGCCAGGTTGCCAGGTTGCCAGGTTGCGAGACTGCGAGGCTGCCGAGTTCTGGCTGCGTGTGGTACTGCTGGCGCCAAAAAAGGGGCGGCGGTTGACTCTTTCGCTCTCACCTGCGCTCGTCCTCGCGCTCTCGCTCACGCTCGCGCTCAAGAGGTGGGTGCTTGTGTGTGTGTGTGTGTGTGTGTGTG